CGAGACCAAGACAAGACCGAGACCAAATAGAGTCGAGACCAAGACAAGACCGAGACCAAATACAGTCGAGATCAAGACAAGACCGAGACCACAAAAAATTGGTCTCGAGAACTACAACACTAATATACACACACACTGTCGTACGTATATTGAAACATACAATACATGAATCAAACAGTAATAATAATAATAGCAAAAAAATCAGAGGGGGGGGGCGTTGAGGAGCTTTTATCCACAAAATATTTTGCTGCAAACATCAGTAAAGTTAAATATAAACAAAAATACTGATATAGAGAGAAATGAGAGGAATGAAGGGGAAAGAAAAGTAATTAAGCTGCAGCTTGGTAATTAAATACAGTAATGGAAGGGCTGAACGTAAAGGTACAAAAAAGAGTGATAGAGGAGTGAGTGTTAAGGTTTGTTTGAGTGTGTGTGTGTTTGTGTGGATGTGTGTGTGTGAGGGTGAGCGTGCACACGTGTGGGTGTGTAGGGACTGTGATTATACGCTTAATGCCTTTATAGGAATGTGTGTGGCATTAGCCTGGCTGTTTGTTCAGGGTTCGATGCTGTAAGGATGGTTCCCAGTTTTCCCCAAACAGCAGGATGTTAATTTTATCTAAGGCTGTAATTTTTTCCATGGATATGTATTCTATCATTACATTAGTCCAATGATTACAGTTTTTGGATTTTCAGTTTTGAAGAATTGATTTTTTGGCAATAGATGGAGAAATATGTATATTATTATTGTATATGTTAATTATGTCTAACTGTGCAAAATCTCCAAGCCAACAAAGTCGGGGAGAAGGAGGGATTCTGCAGCTTAGGGTGGTGGTCAGTTTTTCAGTGATTGCTACCCAGTGTGAGCAGGTATACAGGCCCACATAGCATGCAGATAATTATCTTTGACAGCCTATTCTCAACTCCGTATTTATGGCTTGAGTCTTCGAATGTCATGAAATGACTTATTGAAAAGGAGGTGGAGATGTGTAATCCCTTTCTGTTCCCATGAGTGATAGTTAATACTGATATTGTGAAGTTGGAAGTCCGGATTATTCCAGATTGGGGTGTATTTACAGGGTCTGAGAGTGCAGTTTGTGGTTTTAATGGCTTTACACTGGGCTGTCAACGTTCTGAAAATGGCAGAATTGTTAAAGCAGTTTTGTTTCTTTAATGAAATATTGAGTAAGGGTAAGTCTGCACGTCTGAGATTTTTACAGTACAGGTGCTCCTGTTGTAACCATGAGCTGCTGTTACTACTGTAGTGTGACCATTTAGTTAAGTATTGCAGTTGATTTGCTAAGTAATAATGAAGAAAAATCTCAACTTTACTTCATCTTGAGATTTATTTTTCTATGATGTGGAATGTTTGATTTTTGCATTTTTGTTTTTCAGTAAAAATGTGACATTAAAGAATTTTTCATAAATTATTCTGGAGGAGAATATTTATTTTGATTGTTGAAATAGGTCCTATTGGTGAGAGTGGGAGATTCATCTATTGTTTTGAGTAAGGGGGTGTAGTTGAGGGTAAACAAGTCTGACAGCCTGGGGGAGATGT